CATCAATTACTAGACATTATCACTTGACTTCCTTTTATGATAGATGAGGATTTAACTCTCCCTCCCTTTCTTCCCATTTTCTTATTGCATTTATATCACAGTTTTGATGAATACGTAAATGATATTTTCACTGCTGAGCCAGGTATTTTACAACTCTGTTTTCTTTCTTGTATAACTCTTGAATTTTTGTGTGATTAATAATTACCTAATTCTTCCTCTGTTTGCATTCTTCTCAGTTGAATTTTCCAGAAGTCAATTCTTTTTTTTTCCTCAAGATATTCCACCTTGGAACCTATGGCCTTGTGTGATTCTATGGACTAGATGCTCTGGGGATACCGTATTGTCTAGAGATTTTCCTTCTTCATCATCCTAAGCTCCTGTGTTAAATATCTTATTTCCTGTGTTATGTCTTCTGTTGTGGGTGTACACTAATTTTAGAAGACTTATCTTCCAATATGAGGTAAAATTGTTGATGCTTTGCATATCTGAAAATTTATTTTATCCTCATTTGATTGATAATTTGGCTGGTTATCTCTTCGAAGTTGGAAACTAGTCTCTAGCTTCCAAAACTAGCCTCTAGCTTCCAGTGTTACTGTTGAGAAACCAGATACCATTTATTTACAGTCCTTTGTGACTCTTTTCCCTTCAGGAAGACTGTTTTTTCATTTTCATATATTTTTTGGCTTGGATTTATTTGTTTATTTAACTGTAGTAAGAACACTTAACACGACATCTACCCTCTTAACTTTAGTATCTCCTCTTTATCTCAAGGATTCTAAAATTTTAGAATAATGTAGCTCAGTGTGTATTTTTCCCCCATTGTGCTGGGTACTCAGTGGACTCTTTCATTATGGAGGCTCATATCCTCTGGTTCTGGGATATTTTCTAATACAGTTTCTTTTGTAATTCCCCCCCCTTTATTTTGTTGTTATTTTCTGTGAAATGGCTGTATTGATCCTGTAGCTTTCTTAACCTTTTCTAATTAACCATTTTTTTCCTATTTCCTGTTATTTCCTCAGTTTATTCTCCGAACTTTCCTATTGAATATTTTATTTCTGTATTCATATTTTTAATTTACAAAACTTTCTTATTCTCTGATTGTCCCAAACTCCTCTTACTCATTCAAAGGTTTAATATTTTCTCTTAACTTGGAAGAAATCAATTTTATTTTCTGCTCTTTTTGTGGTTATTGTTTTCTCTAAGTTTTTTGTTTTAGCCTCTGTTGTTTATGTTAGAGGCTTTCCTCAAAAGTCTGATGACCTGTGACTATTCATTCATATTCTGGAGTGAATGAAGCACAACAATGCTGCCTGGCAGCTGTGTGTGAGTAGGTGGGACTTGTGGACTGGCAAGCTTGGGTGGCCTTCCAGGTTTGTTTTGTTTTTTTGATTCACTTATTTATTTTTAGAGAGAGAGAGAGAGAGAGAGTGTGTGTGTGTGTGTGTGTGCGCGCGCGCACGCACAGGGGAGAGGAAGAGGGAGAATCTCAAGCAGACTGAGCATGGAGCCTCGCGAGGGGCTTGATCTCACAACCCTGAGATCATGACCCAAGCCGCAATCAAGAGTCCACTCTTGGATTGCTCAACCAACTGAGGCACCCAGGCACCTCCCCCAACCCTCAGCTTTTTATTGACAGAGTCCCAGCTGTCAGCATTTGGAGGTCTTTTCTCTTTGGCCATTCTATTTCTTCAGCAAAGTATCTTTTTTTTTTTTTTTAAGATTTTATTTATCTGACAGAGACACAGCGAGAGAGGGAACACAAGCAGGGGGAGTGGGAGAGGGAGAAGCAGGCCTCCCGCCAAGCAGGGAGCCCGATGCGGGGCTCAATCCCAGGACCCTGAGATCATGACCTGAGCTGAAGGCAGATGCTTAATGACTGAGCCACCTTCAGCAAAGTATCTTTTAGTCCCCTAATATAAGTCTGGCTGCTGGAGTTTTGGGAGTTGGATGGAAGAAGGAAGTAGGAATTTTCATTCTGATTTTAGTCCCAAACCTCCCCTTTACCCTCTATGATATCCAAAGTCCTGAGCCTCTCTAGTTCAGTTTCTCCAAATGATAAATATCCCATCTCCTCCAAGTGTAGGAGTAAAAACTGGAGAGATCCTGTTGTACTTATGCATATTTTCAACTTGCTTCATTTTCCACCCTGTTCTCCGCCCACATTTCTGTATCATCTGGGTCCTGGACTTTGCCTACTCTGTTGGTTTGCTTCTCATCCATGTCATCTGTGTGCCTAGTGTTACCCACCTCTCTGCTGCTGAGTTATTTACTGCTCCTCCATTCATATTCTGTTCTCATATTTTGTGATTCAGGTTATAGACATCTGCTAGTCCTGTTGAAGATAAGATTTGTGTTTTTATTTCTCATTTTTTCCTTGTTTTAAGTTGACTTCTGAGAGGATAGAGCAAAAAGATTTTCATTTGGCCATTTCAAACCAAACAATTACTTATTTTATAATCAGAAGAAAACAAAAAGCTATTCTCATTTTGAGGGGAAATGAAGTTATAATACTAAGAAATTTAGTAATGGAAAGCAGCCGGTGTAGTAGCTAGAGGAAGCATTAGAATCACTAAAGGATTTTACAGGAGATTTCATTGAAGGCAAAAAGAACTTGAGAGAGCAAAACTGAAGCAGGCCCTGGTCAAGGTAGGAATGCCATCAAGAACAGAGATGGGGAGCTTATCTTTGATAATAGAAGTGAAGGAAGAAATGGTAAAATGTAGAGGTAATGGGCAAGATGAGGGAGCTTATATCCAGTGGAGTAAAGTTGGTCATAGAGTTTAATAAACTGCTATTTTGATTTTTTTTTTTTTTTTTTGTAAATCACCAAGCATTGCAAATCTTAACATATTTTTCACAACTGACTAAAAAAAGTAGAAACTATGTAGTATTAATGAAAAAGATCTGCTTGGGGTTCCTCTATTACTTTTTTATCTTGAAAAATATGTTAAAGTGTAAGCTCTTAATAACAAGTGTTTATTCTAATCAATGACTCTTCATCTTCTTCAGCTTACTTTGTTGCTTCTCATTTATTTTTGCTCGGTGGAACTTAACAAACAGCCAAAGCATAACGTTGAATAAAATTTTGGTATAATGAATGATGATGTATCTTCCAAAATCAGATTTAAAGATATTTTCCATATGGATTTTAAATGAGTATATACTAGTGAGGTCACTAAATCAAAATAATCTGTATAATCACCAGGTGCTATTCAATGTTCAGAAATGGAGTATTTTCTTTGGCAAGTCTGATTCATTAGTTCACACTTTTAAGTACTTGCCAATCATATTTGCTACTACAGATACTTGTTTCAAATCCTCTTGCTTTGAAAATGCATTCAAGTGGCTCTAAACATTTACTTGACTATTGGGATTATAATGTTCCTCTGACATACCAGAAACTTAATTGTAATCAGTATGCTAAGTGAGACTGATTTTCTCAGTCTCCAAATTCAAATTTCATTTGTAAAATATTTGAGATTATAGAATACTTACCCCCAATTCTGGGCTTAAATCTTATTCCACCTAAGAATAGTTAAGCTAATCCCCTCTGTGACCAATCATTACTATTAGTCTTAATAAAATTCAGTATTTCATGTTGTAAATTCTAATATATCCAGCCAATTTTATGGGAAAGTCATTGGCCTATAGAAATTTATCTGCTTGTTTCTCAGAAGTACCAAGAAAAATACAAAGGTGTATGTGTAAAAAACAAATTTTTATCCAATTCCACATTTTCTAAAAACTTCCTAGACTGATAGTGAAGTTGACCAATTACTGAAATAAGTTGACAAACTGCATTGGGAATGCTTGCATGGCATTCCCATTGTTCAGTGGTGATTATTTGATTCTTTTTTTTAAATATTTTTTTATTTATTTGACAGAGAGAGACACAGCAAGAGAGGGAACACAAGCAGGGGGAGTGGGAGAGGGAGAAGCAGGCTTCCTGCGGAGCAGGGAGCCC